TGAGATTTTGGTCTATACCTAGTTTCTGCCATGCTCTTTTCCAGTTTTCCCAGCAGTTTTTGTCGAATGGAGAGTTCTTATCCCTCATCTCTCATTCTTAGGACTGTCTTTCCAGTTAAGTTTCAGGTGCTTGTATTGGATAATTGGTACTATGTTGATTGGCCTCTCCCACACACACCTTAGTCGTTGGCACAGGCTTTACGTGTGCTAAGAGAGGACAATGCTGATTAATGCTGAAATAGCTCAAGGGACACCTTAACCTGCTGCTTTGTTTTTGTCCACCAGGTGCTGGAGCTGCAGCCAGCGAGTTAAGCATGGGATACCCGTTTCTCCACTCTAACCCTCCATTGTCTCTCTTCATCACTACAGATGGTTCCAGACCTTGATCCACTTATTGAAAGGGAATATTGGCACAGGTCTCCTAGGGCTGCCCCTGGCAGTGAAGAATGCAGGGATCTTGGTAAGAGGGATCTGTACTGAGGAAGGAGGGAAGAATCCCACAACACTCTGGGAGAACAGAGATGTTGATTGTTGTTATGCCTTTTTTTTTTTTTTAAATCTAGAGCTATCATTTCATTAATATAAGGAATTTAAGAGATATAGGAACTCCTAATGTTGAAATGTAGGGCAGCTAGGTGGCACAGAGGATCGAGTGCCAGCTTGGAGTCAGGAAGACTCATTTTTCCAGATTCAAATCCAGCCTCAGATGCTTACTAGCTGTGTGACCCTAGGCAAGTCACTTAACCCTGTTTGCCTCAGTTTCCTCATTGTAAAATGAGCTAGAGAAGGAAATGGCAAATCACTGAAGTATCTTTGCCAAGAAAACCTCAGATGTGGTCACAAAGAATCAGACACAACTGAACAACAAATATAGAAACTTGTTCACACATGCACGTGGTAACTCATCTTAAGTCTTAAGAGATTCGTTACCTGAAGTACTGAGAAGTTAAGTGATTTACTGTCATGGTTACACAGCATGTATCAAATTCAGGACTTGAATCAGGTCCTTATGACTGCAAGGGTAGCCTTCTAGTTGCTGTATCATCTTACTTTTCTTGTGTTTTCATAGTATTTTTAATCTGAAAGGGTTTTTGTTTTTGTTTTTTGAGTAATTAGAATAACTCTGTCTCCCTTGCTAGAAAAGAAGTTCCACATATGGCTGCTGGGTAGGAGGCATGGTATATACTGAGAGTACTGACTCTTTAATATCAGTATTCTGTATATTTTCTAGAAAGGCTCTTGGCTAACTTCTCTATTCTTTAATCTCTTCTATTCCATTCCATTTCCTAAATGATTGATTCTTAATTTTTTTTTAAGATGTTCTCTGAGTAGATGTTTGTGTTCAGAGATATCCTAATTTCCTTTAGACTTTAGGATGTCCCAGAAACTCAGTTTGTCTGGTGATTGCTCTTAAGCTGACCCTTAAAACCTCCCTTTCCATTTCGGCTCTAGAGTCATCAGAGATCCTTACTTATCTAACTTTCCCTGTCATTGCTCAATGCTGCTGTCTTAGATTTTCTTTTTCTTTAAAAGATTAGATATTTTCAAAAGAGTGCTAAAGTTCAGGCCAGTTTCCATGTTATAGAATCAATCTTTACCATGTTCTGCTCTCCAGGACTGCCTAAAAACTTTGTACTTGGAATTGGTGTTAACTACATTTTTAAAAAAATAGATTTTATTGATAACTTTTACTTTTACATTGCCTAGATTTTCCCTTGTATCCCTCCTGTTTCCCAGAGAGCCATCCCTCGTAGCAAAGATTTTTTAAAACAAGAAAAAAAGAAAAAGAGGAAGAAGAAATTCAACAAAACCAAGTAACATTAAAAAAAACATCCTGAAGTTACATGTAACATTCCACACCTATGAACCCCAACCTCTGCAAAGTAGTGGATACCTCAGTGACATTTCAACCAGTTATATGACTAACCTTTTAAAGTTATTTTTGCTCTTTTCTTCTCACCTATACTACCTTTCTCCAGATGGGTCCTCTCAGTCTGTTGGTCATGGGCATTGTGGCTGTGCACTGTATGGGCATCTTGGTGAAGTGTGCACGTCACATCTGCCAGAGGTAAGACATATTTGTTTCTGTTCTTGGTTGAATATTTATCCTTTGGAGTTTAATGACCAACTTTAGTCCCATTGAACTTCATTAAAATTGTCTCTTCTCTAACTCACGCTCATTGCTTATATAGCTTATATCAGTGCACATCCTTTACCTCTTTGAATATAGCTGTTGTAATACTACATGTATTTGTTAGGACTCAGCCATATCTTTCTGAGTGTTTCATAGTTTTTGTTTTGGGACCTTTTAGTTAAGACACTGGGTCAAGACCATATTCCAATTCTGTGTTCTGTATGTGCTGAAGCTGTTTTGTGACTGCCTAATAGAGAGGAGGGCAGTCCCGCAATGGGGCCAGTGTGATATTTCTCTATTACTAATAATTAGTAATAGAGAATAGTGATTGTACTGTTTCTTTTATGTGTTCTTCTCCAAGGTTCTTGCCAGTTTGATCCTTCTTGACCTTAAGTAAATGGGCTTCTCTTCTAAGAATGTTTCCCAATTTGTTTAAGGGAGAGGACAGGAAGGATGAACTTTGACTGTGTCAGAGTGGTGCTTAGAATCTTAGCTTCCCCATCCCCCAAGATAAGATGCTTTTCAAGAGCTGTCTGGATCAAGAGTCTGACACCCTGGTACACGCCAAGGGTTGCCAGGTCTGCTTTGCCAGTGCCATTCTCCTTCCCCTGATTTTACAGATTCCTGTAATTGGGCTAAACCAGTTCTTAGCTTGGGTTTTTTCTCTTCCACAGGCTACGCAAACCCTTTGTGGACTATGGAGAAACAGTGATGTACGGGCTGGAAGCTAGCCCTAGCTCTTGGCTTCGGACTCATTCCTTATGGGGAAGGTAATTAATAACTGCTTGTTGACAGTTTTATTGCTTGATTGATGTAATATGAAATGTATCTTTTGAGTATGTGTATATGTGTGTGGATTCTGTGACACTACTCTATCCTCACGCTCTTATTAATTGCCTACTGTGTGCCAGGTGCTGTGCTACACTCTGGGAGACAAATAGAAAGCATGAGACACTCCTTACTTATAAAAATCTTTCGTTTTAATGGGGATATACAGTGTGAGTGTATTCTGTATGAGTATATACAGAATAAAAGGAATAAAGACAAACTAGTCACATACAAGGTAGTTTAGGAGGGAGGATATTAGCAGTTGGAGGATAAGGAAAGGTTTTGTGTTGTGTTTGGGTTTTATCTTGAAAGGGGGAAAGTGTGTATAATCTAAACTACAGAAATTCTCTTCACCTCCCTCTCCCTCCTCACCGTCCCCCCCAATAATTTCTCACAGCGCAGCTGCCCATGTCATTCATCCTCTGCTCAGTATTTCCAGTGACTCCCTATTGCCTCCAGGATCAAATATTAAATCCTCTGACTTCTAACACCCTCCTTAACCCAGCCCCTTCTTACCCTTCCAGTCTCTTCACTCTTTTCCCCTCCACATACTCTGAAATCCAGTCAAACTAGCCTCTTACTGTCCCTCTCACACGATACTCCATCTCCCAACTCTATATATTTTTTACTTGTCTGTCCTAGAATTCCTCAAAGTCCCAGCTAAAATCCCACCTTCTACAAGAAGCTTTTCCCAATTTCTCTCCATGCTGTACCTTCCCTATGAGATTGCCTCCGATTTACCTTGTAAATAGTTGTTTGCATGTTGTCTCCTACCCTTAGAATGTGGGGGCAGGGACTGTTTGCCTTTCTCTGTATTCCTTGTGTTTAGCACATATCAGGGATGTAATAAATGCTTGTTGACTTGATTTGACATTGTTTTATAGTAAAAGGTTTAAGTTGATAAATTTTTTTTCTCCCTTTGAAATGCTTCATTTTAAAAAAATGAATAATCTTCTTATTCTCTTCTGTCTGTAGGCATATTGTGAGCTTCTTCCTGATTGTCACTCAGCTGGGCTTTTGCTGTGTGTATTTTGTATTTCTGGCTGACAACTTTAAACAGGTAGGGTGAAGAGAACTAAGTGGATCTTCTGCACTTGAACTCCTAGTGAAAAGACTAAAGGCTAAACCTTTTACGTAGCTGTCATCCTTTTAGGGCCAATGTCCTTTGGACATCTATAAAGAGAAAATTTGGATTCTAAAATGTTAGGGTCAGAAGGAACTTCTCCAGGTCTAGTCAATTCTCTGATCTGCAGGAAAGACTGGTCTCAGGCCCGTGGCCAGCAGAGGTTGTCTTTGTTATTCCCAAAGCTCTTCAGAGGGCATTTATTAGTTACCTGTTGTATGCAAGGCCCTCTGCTAGGTTGGAAGAAATGCAGTGATAGATAAAGCATCACCCCTTCCTTCAAGGAAATTACTGTCTCCTAGAAATTCCATCTATTCTTTCAAGGCTTTGTTTTGCAAGCTCACAACCCTGTTTGGGGAAGTTTTTCTAACTGAATTCTACTTGATGAATTTTGAAAGAATTTTCCTGTTTTTTCCTTCTGTCCTGAAGGTAGTGGAAGCAGCCAATATGACGACCAACAACTGCCAAAGCAATGAGACCGTGGTGCTGACGCCCACCATGGATTCACGGCTCTACATGCTCTCCTTCCTGCCTTTCCTGGTGCTGCTGGTGTTTGTCCGAAACCTCCGAGCCCTGTCCATCTTCTCGTTGCTGGCCAACATCAGCATGATGGTCAGCCTCATCATGATCTATCAGCATATCGTGCAGGTATGTGTCCAGATCAGGCCTGTGGCCGTTCCCTTTGATGCTTGACATCCAGATCTAGTGGCAGTCCTTTCCGTTTGTTCCTCTTAGCCTCCCATCTGTGTACTGTTGTGTTGTGAAAGAGACACAAAGCTGCTGTCTGATGATTTAGGGGCACCAGCATTTTTGGAGCAACAGTACACAGTTTACTTCCTCAGACGGCTGCTTGGGACTTTCCTGTGTTAAATCAGAGGGTGAGGGATGTGAGGAAGAGGATGGCTGCTTGCGTTCTCTGTTTGTGGCTGATTGAACTGCCAGTGTCGGACCAGTTAGTGTCAGCTATAATTGATCTTCGTACCACTTTAAATTGGTTAGTGTACTGTGCTCACTGACCTGATGTGAATTGATAGACCAGCTATGTAGTAACATTGATAAGGGAAGAGGGAGCTGTCTTCTCCCTTGACATTTTTACACGTCCCATGTCTAGATTAGTACAAAATTCTTGCATGTGGTTCAGACCCAGAATGAACCAAGTACTCTCGGTAGACAAAGAGGCTACATAATATAATGGAAAGAGCACCAGAACCTGGATTTGAAAACCACGTCAGATACTTACTAGCTATGTAACCTTGGGAGAGTCAACCTGATATATTTGATCTAAGCTTCCTCATCTGTAAAATGGGGCCCGGGATATTTGTATTGCCTGACTTATAGGGTTGTTGTATTGTATATGCTATAGAAGTGTTAATTATGAAGATAGTCCTTCCTTTTGGATATACTGTTATCCCTTGCACATCATGGGGGCTAGAGGCGCAGCACCCCTGCAATCTGGAAAGTCTGTGTAAAATTTTTTGGCCCTCCCTTCATACTGGAGAAGAAGTCTGAATTATTGTGGCATTAAAAGATAAAATATGTTGATATTATATAATGCTGTACATATATTTCATGCATTTCTGAGTTTCTAAACTTTTTCTGTTTCATCTGCTGGCCTTCTCATGTTGTCTGTAGCTTCTGCAAAACTCCCCAAAATTCCCATTTAATTTCTTATGCCAACCCGTGATATATTGAAACCGTGATGGGGAAAGTCACGATGTGAAAGGGATGACTGTATTCTCCTTTATTGGCTTTTGTGATGCTGCTCTGCCCTGGTTCTCTTCATACCTATCTGACCACTCTTTCTCAATCTTCATTGCTGAAAACATCATTCATCTCCAGCTCCCTGAGGATGGTTGTGTCCTCCAAGGCTCTGCCCTTGCTTTGTCATCTCTGCCTTGCTGATCTGATAATTTCTCATAGATTCAGTTATCTTCTGCATGCAGATAATTCCCAGATTGAGGTATTCAGTTGTAGTCTCTCACGTCACTGATTCATTGACTCTGGGAAGCTGTCTTCTCTGTACCTCATTCTTACCATGTTGAAGTTGGACTTGCTCTTCCTTTTAGGCTCCCCTGTTCCTCCCTTCCTTGATTCTATTGAAATTACTGCACTCTTGCAAGGATCTGAGGTTTGTAACCCTAGATCCATTTCTGACACTTCCTACTTCCCTGTTCCCATATCTGATCTTGTTAATTCTACCTCCATAACATGTCTGTCATCCATCCACCCTTACAGCCACCACCCTGGGTCAGGCCCACAGGAGAATTATTATCATAGCCTTCTAAACTGTCTCCCTGCTTCCAGGCTCACCCCTTCTCTGATCCATCCTTCACATGTTATCTGCTAAAATACATTTCTTAATGCATGTGTTGCATCATGTCATTCTTCAACTCTCTGTGGCTTCTTGTTGCCCTCACACTGGCATTTATGGCCCTTCGCAATCAAGGCTCCAGCCTACCTTTCCAGCCCTACTTTGTTGCCATTTCTCTTGAGCCTTTCCAGGGAACTTGGAGCTGACTCAGATGTACTGGATTGAACTGTAGTAGGGCTCCCCACTTCTGGGCTTATAATAATCAATCATCAAGCATTTATTAAGCACTTACTAAGCTAGACTCTGCACTGGGCACTGAGGATACAAGATAAAAATCATACAATCCCCACAGTCAAGAAGCTTAGGTTCTACTAGAAGAGACAGTACATATGCACATACAGAAACGGGGCATACAAGGTAAATTCAAGGTCATTTTACAGAAGAGACACATTAGCAACTAGCAGGAGGATCAGGAAAAGCCTCATTTGGAGGCTTATAAACTACTTTCCCAGGTTTGGATAGATTCTTGAGAATCAGAGATAGATGTTGGTGGAGTTGTGAACTGATCCAACCATTCTGGAGAGCAATTTGAAACTATGCCAAAGGTTTATAAAACTCTGCATGCCCTTTGATCTATCAATACCACTGCTAGATCTATATCCCAAAGACTTCCAAAAAAAAAGGGGAAAGGACCTATTTGTACAAAAATCTTTATAGCAGTTCTTTTTGTGGTGGCTAAGAATTGGAAATCAAAGGGATGCTCATCAATTGGGGAATGGCTAAACAAGCTGTGGTATATGATTGTAACAGAATATTATTGCCTATGTGAAATGACAAGCAGGATTATTTCAGAAAAACCTGGAAAGACTTACATGAACTGATGCATAGTGAAGTGAACAGAACCAGGAGAACGTTGTACACAGTAACAGCAATATTATTCATTGAAGAACTGTGAATGACATAGCTTTTCTCAGTGATACAATGATCCAAGACAATCTCAAAGGACTAATGATGAAGTATACTATGTGCCTCCAAAGAAAAAACTGACACTGTTTGAATACAGACCGAAGCATGCTATTTTTCACTTTCTTTCTTTCTTTCATTTTTTTCTTTTATTTGTCTTCTTATACAAAATGACTAATATGGAAATGTTTTACATAATTGCATGTGTAAACCTATATCTTATTGCTTACCATCTTAGGGAGGAGAGAGGGGAGGGAAGGAGGAATAAAATTTGGAACTCAGAACTTTAAAGAAAAATGTTTTAAAAATGAAGAAAAAAAAGAATCAGAGATGCATCATGGTATGGTGGAAAGAGCATTGGGCTTAGATTAGAAAGATGTAGTTTCAGGTCCTTGTTCTGTCACTTGGAAGCCATGTGTCCAGTCTCTGCAAGCCTTGTTTTTTGAATCTGGACAATAAAAATAATTCTTTTCCCTCCCTCACAGGCTTGTTTTGAGGATAGTGCTTTATAAATCATATTGTACCATCAAAATATAAGCTATTATCATTCTTTGAGCAGAGTTGAATTCTTTTGTAACTCCTTGGAACGCTACGCTTATACTAACATTTCCCCTCTCTAAAGCAGAATTTTATATAAGGAAGATACTTTAATTACCTTGGACCCCTAAAGTACTAAAATGTTTATCTTAAGGTAGTCTCACTTTTGAAATAGTCTCATGGTGTGGACTCAGAAGATGGAGTTATAGTGAGTCTTCAGTGTAGTTAATTTACTCTATCGATTAGTACTGCCCTAGAATAGAATGGACTATCTCAGGGAGTGATGAATCTCAGGAAGTCTTAAGCAGGATAATCATTGGTCAGATATGTTGCAGAAGGAATCCTTGCTTATTTAGGGGATACATTGGTTGTACACTCAGGAGAATCTATGATTCTGTGATTAGGACATCTTAATTATAACAGGCATATTCCACTCAATATTATTAATTAATTTCACAAAAACACATTAGGTTCAATGATATTGCACAGGAAATTTAGTGTCACAGGAACATTACAAATATACAGTTAGCTAAACAACATCACAACAGAGTTTAGGGATATTAGGGCAGGGTTTAATTACTGGCTTATTGGTATTAATGATATAGTAAAGAAATTGTGAGAGCAGAATTATATAGACTGTGCCTATAGTAGCTTTCCTTCATCTAATATTGTTTTCTTACGCTGTTGGATCATTCTCTACCTTTTTAAAATTTTATTTCTTTATAATTAAATTATTTTTTCAAATAGAGATCTATCTTTTCTTTCTCTCTCACCTTCCTTCTTCCCTTGCCACTTCCCCCTCCCCCTGTTGAGAAAGCAAGGAAAACAAAACTCATGTTACAAACAGGCACAACTTACTGTGTTGCCCATATCCAAAAAAATTATGTCTCTATCTGCACTCTAAGTTGATCACCTCTCTATCAGGAAGTAGGGAACATGTCATCATGAGTCTTCCAGACTGATGATCATTGGGATTATTAGAGTATTAGATGATTGTGATTGATTATCTTTTGATCAGCTGTGAATGACTCAGCTCTTCTCAGCAATACAATGATGGAAGATAAGTACAAAGGATTTAGGAAGGGAAATACTATCCACGTCCAGATAAAAAACTGATGGACTTTGAATGCAGATTGAAGTGTATTTTTTTCACTTACTTTATTCTTTCTCGTGTTTTTTTTTTTCCTTTTGATCTGTTTCATCTTTCACAACTGTGACTATTATGGAAGTATTTTTACACTATAGCACATGTACAGACTATATCAAATTGCCTACCATTTTCAGAAGAAGGGAAGGGAGGGGAGGGAGAAAGATTTGGAACTCAAAATCTTATAAAAATGAATGCTAAAAATTTTCTTGACGTGTACCTGGGGAAAAAAATAAAATACTATTTAAAAAAACAAAGTTGATTATCTTTATAATATTGTTATTAAGTAAATTGCTCCCCTAGTTCTGCTCACTTGACTCTGCATTAGTCATACAAGTCTTTCCAGGTTTCTCTAAAATCATTCCCTTCATCATTTTGTAAAGTACAGTAGTATTCTATCTCATCTGTATACCATAATTTGTTCATCCATTCCCCAGTTTCTAATTCTTTTTCCCCACAAAAATAACTTCCATACTTTTGTACATATTGGTCCTTTTCCATTTTCTTTAGTCCCTCTGTAGTATAACTCTAGCACTGGTATTACTGGGTCACAGTTTAATAGCTTTTGGGGCATAGTTCTAAATTGGTTTCCAGAGTGATTGTACCAGTTCATAGTTCTACCAGCAATGCATTAATGTACCTGTTTTCTCACAACTTTTCCAGTATTTGTCATTTTCCTTTTTTGTTAATTTTGCCAGAGGGAAGGGTGTAAAGTAGAACTTCAGAGCTGTTTTAATTTGCATTTTGCTATTGGTGTTTTGGACACGCTTTTAGATTTGTTTGTTTGTTTGTTTGTTTTGGTGAGGCAATGGGGTTAAGTGGCTTGCCTAGAGTCACACAGCTAGTAGTGAGTGTTATCTGTCTGAGGCTGGATTTGAACTCAGGTCCTCCTGACTCTAGGGCCAGTGCTCTATCCACTGCGCCACCTAGCTGCCCCATGTTTTTGAGTTTTGTCTTTCAGACAGTCTTGGTACCTCTACCTTACCTTGGGTTCTTAACCTTTTTTGTGTCCTGGACACCTTTGGCAGCCTGGTGAAGCCTATGGACTTTTTTTCAGAATCATGTTTTTAAATACCTTCAGTAAAATACATTGCTGGACTTAGTGGTGCATGCCTGTAATCCCAGCTGCCTGGCTGGTGGAGGTTGGTAGTTGTTTGTTGGAGTTGGTTCAGCTTGAGAATTTTGAGCTGCTACAGGCTATGCCGGTTGGGTGCCTGCACTAAGTTCAGTACTAATTTCACAAAAACACATTAAGTACAATGATATTGCACAGGGAATTTAGTGTCACAGGAACATTAGGTGAGTCCCTGGGAGTGGGAGTGAGGGGTGGGTGTGGAGATTTGGGATGTCTAAGGAAGGGCAAACTGACCCAGGTTATAAAAACATCAGCTTAAAGCTGCCATGTCAGTGAATGGTGGGATCAGGCCTGTGGGTAGCCTCTCCACTTATAGCCTGGGCAAGACAGGAAGGCCCAGTCTTAAAAAAAAAACAAAAAACAAATATGTGTGTATGTATGTGTGTGTGTGTGTGTGTGTGTATGTATATGTACATATGTATATATACATACATACACACATACATATATACACATGGGATTACAAAGGAAACTAGTTATCTTGAAAAATCAAAATATTAAAATCTTGTTAATAGACTCCAAGTTAAGAACTGTAGCTTTAGAGAATGATGAGATTCTCCCAGCTTAATACTTCAATGGATCCATGATCTCATTGGTGTGAACATCTTAACTGTGACTTCACATCCTATGAGGTTCTTGTCTCTGTCCTTCCATAAAGCCTACATAGAGAATTTACATAACACATTGGAGACCATCTTTTAGGTTCTTTTAATCTTTAATGGACAATAATGCAGTGCTTACTATTCATCTGTTATGTTCTGCTCTCTTTGAATGAATGGTCCCCTCCTAGAGACAGAGTACAAAGGTGTGGTCTAAATGTCTAGGCCTCCTAGTTCTTAGGTTGGTGAGCTCATTCCTTCCATAATATTTTATTGACATATTTTGTTTTTATATCACTTTCATTTCCAAATATATTCCTCTCCTCATCTGATCAGGTTGAAATTCCTTTTTAACAAAGCATAGAAAAGAAAGAGAAATAAAAGCAATTCAACAAAATTAATGAACACATTGACCAAATTTGACAGAACATGCAATAGTTGACACTCTCAGCTCTCAACTCTACAAAGAAAGAAAGGCAATGGATTTTCTTCTTCAGGCTGGAGCTCAGTCATTATAGTTACACAGTACTCAATTGGGGATTTTTTGTTGTTGTTCTTTCTACTTAGATTATTGTAGTAGTCAATTTATTTTTCACTTTTAATTTTGTTTTAAAGTGTATATTAAATTTAACCTGATAGTAACAAAATTGCCTTGCTTGTCTGTGTCCCCCTCTGCGTTTTTCTGTGTATTTTTAAAATGTTTCATTGACTTTCTTTTCTTTTTTCTTTCTTTTTTTTTTTTTTTTAAAAACATTGCTTCCAGTACCCACTGACCTGCCACTCAGTGCTTCCACCACCACATGGTAACAAATAATTATATTCAAGCAAAACAAATTAACATACTGGCCATGTCTGAAAATGATGTTTCACTCTGCACCTCTAATCTATCACCTCCCTGCCAGAGGTGGAAGGAATGCATTACCATTAGGCTCCTGGCATCTGAATTGGTCATTACATCAATCAGAGTTCTTACGGTTTTTCACAGTTGTTTTCCTTTACATTTTTTAGTCATTCTATAAAATGTACTCCTAGTTCTTATCAGTTTACTTTTTGCATTAGTCTATACAAGTTTTAATAATAATAGCTAACATTTATATAGTACTTACTATGTGCCAGGCACAGTGCTAAGAGGTTTACAAATATTATCTGATTTGATCCTCACAACAACCCTGGGAGGTAGCTATGTACTCCAGGACAGCAGGGACTATCTTATCTGAATTTTGATCTTATTTAAATGTGTTTTGATGTCCTACTTTCTCCCTTCAGAAATCCTATATCTGACCTTTTTTTTTTTTGACTGGTTTTATAATATCAAGACATCTTTCTATCTGTGTTTCTTTTAGGGAATTCCAGACCCCAGAAACCTGCCCTTGGTAGCAAATTGGAAGACCTACCCCCTGTTCTTTGGTACAGCCATATTTGCATTTGAAGGCATCGGAGTGGTAAGGATTGAGTTGGGATTAAAGTTGAATATTCCCTGGCACTGTTGATACTTTTCTGGTGAAGAATTCAGTGTTCTAGAGGCCAGATCATGCATGGGAAAATACCAGAAGACTATCCCTGTTGGAAATGATCTTCTGTGGTAGATCTCTTTCTCAGTCGCCATTTCTCCAGTATGGAATTTAGTAAATCTGCTATCTTTGAAGACAAATTGCATATTGATTTAGTAACACTTAAGTTTTACCTTCTTTACCACCTACTTGATCTCTAATATATATCAACCTTTCCCCTGTCAGCACTGAGAAAAAAACAATACCACAGGCTTCGTAAGGAAGGAAATAAACCCTGCTTCCTTCTGGGGTCACAAAGAATCAGACACAACTGAAACAACTGAACAACACCAACAAAATGGAGATAGTAATAATGATAAAGCACTACATAAATGTTAGCTATTATTAGTGTTATAAAATTACAGAATTGGGAGAGACCTCAGTAGGTATCTAGTCCAATTCATAGTAAAGAGAGGAGAGAAGGGAGTAAGCATTTATATAGCACTGACTATGTGCCAGTTACTAGGCTAAGCACTTTTTACAAATATTATCTCACTTGAACTTTACAACAAACCCATGAAGTAGGTGTAATTATTATCCCCATTTTACAGTTGAGGAAGTTGAACTAACAGAAGTTAAGTGACTTGTGCAGGGTCATACAGTCACTAAGTGTCTTAAGGCCGAATTTGAACTCTGGTCTTCCTCACTCCAGCCCTGACACTGTATTCACCATGCTGCCGGTAAAACACTCACCTCTTTTGGAGTTTCCCTGACAAAAGGTTATCCAATTCTTGCTTGAAGTCTCCCAGTAAATGCTTGATTATATAATTGATAGGGAACTCACTGTTTTTGGGGGTTTCCCATTTCTTTCTTGAACAGCTCTTAATTGCTAAGAAGCTTTTCCTTATGTTAAACCAAATTTGGCCTCTTGACGTTGGTCATCGTTTCTCCCTTTTGGGAACAAGCAGGACAAATGCATTCTTTCTTCCATATCTTCAAATATTTGAAGAAAATCATCGTGTCCCCGCTTCAGTCTTCCCGTCTCTAAGCTCAATGTGCTTAGTTTCTTCAACTGATCATCATGTGGACCACCCTAGGATGTTTCCACAAAAACCCTCTTGATTTTGCAGTTAGCAAACCACTGGGTCTCCTGCTGATTAGAACAGAAGATTTTCCCTCATTGATAGTGAACTATTCACTGAGCGTTCACTCACTCTGTGGCACAAGAAGATGTATGAAAGTAGGATCACTGCCGTCAGATGACATATTGTATTAACAACAGTTTGTGAAAGAAGATGGAGTGATAGTTTAGCATGTTAGTCCATCCTCAGGTATCTGATGAACTCAGATTGGGGGGAAAGGGCAGAATCACATCTTTATTTTCACTCTCCTCTAACTGAAATTTAGCATCTCCTTCAATTATTTGAAAACATTGTTCTGAGAAGGCTTCACCAGACTGCCAAAGGATTCCATGACACAGAAAAGGTTAAGAACCTTTCATTTAGCAACCTTGTTTGCTAGGTTGGGCAAGGGATAAGCTGAAGCTGAAAAGCCTAGGGTTAACACCCAAAGAAAAGACCCTAAAGAAGGAATCCAAGCCCAATGCATAACCTTGCTCACTTTTATGCCCTCAGACACTCGAGCAAAATGAGTATTCTGATACGATCAGAGTGTCTCTTGGAAATGAGAATCATTGCTTTGAGTTGACTTTCATTGTTTACTGAGCCAGATCTAATAGATGACCACTTGTGAAAACTGGCAAAGTCTTGCCCTTTGTTGCTTCCTCTTTTACGGAGATCAACTGATGTTCTGTTCTTTTGTTATTAAGAACTCATGTTTTTATGCAACTTTGACTTTTTCAAAGTATTTCTGTTATAATAACCCTGTGAGAGAGGTGGTGTTTCAAGAGATCTGTGATTTTATCAGTGTAAGACAGCTGTGACCACTAAGAAACCATCAGCTGGTGGCCAACTTTCTTCTGCCTCTTCCACTTTTAGTGTTCATTCTCTTCAGACATCAGACTTGCAGTGTTTGGCCAGGCTATACTGAATACCTTTCAGGCGTGGTAGAACTTGCCCGGAGTTTAAGCTTCATTGACAGTCGTTAAGCATCCAGGGTTTCTTCCACACTGTGATGAAGCATCAGAGTTGGCCTTAGTGAAGGAGAAAGGAGGGCAGGTATTTTTATTCATCCCTATTTGTCAAATGAGGCAATTGAGGTCCAGAAAAGTAGTGACTTGCCTGGGATCATGTAGCTCAGTAGGGGAAGGGCCAGGATTCTGGCCCCAGTCTTCTGACTTTCCAGTCTAGGACTCTAGTGTTGTAGTGTCCATTGTGGCAAAGGAGATCACGTGATCCAGTGGATCCAAGGAGGAATCTGGAAACTTGACTTTCCTGTTAAAAAGCCTTGTTAAGTCCTCACCACCCCTGCTTTCATCAGTGTGAAAGTTTCCCTTGTTCTGAGCAATGACTTTGAATCAAGACCTAGTTAAAGAATCTTCAACTAGTACTATCTGGTCCTTAGAGAAAAAAAATCTAAGTTAAGCTTAGTGAGTTAATGACTAGAGCAAATAGTATTAGGAAGAAGGATAATTTCTATGCTGTAGAAATAAAGAGGATTTCTTTCCTCACTTTCCATAGAGGGGTAGTATAGATAATTTCCATCCTATAGGAATGAAGATGATTGCTTTCCTTATTTTCCACAGGGAACAGAAATCAGACTGGGAGTCCACCTGTTTTTAAGACCAAAGGTGTATTTGGGAAACAAGAATATTAAGGATCAAAATGTTGCCTATTTTTATTGATGTTAACTTGTATTTTTGTCTTGTCCTCAGGTGCTGCCCCTGGAAAATAAAATGAATGAGCCCCAGCATTTTCCAGTCATCTTGTATGTGGGAATGACCATCGTTACCCTGGTCTACATCAGCCTGGGATGCCTGGGTTACCTTCAGTTTGGAGCAGCCATACAAGCCAGTATAACCCTCAATCTGCCCAATTGCTGGTGTGTAAATCATAAAGGAGAATAGAAACTCATTGGCTGTGGTTTTGAGTGTTTTCAGGAGAAGTTAGGGCAAAAGGTTGATGTGGTGGAAGGCTAAGTCACAAATAGGCATGTGTCTTCCTAGCAATAGGATTGCACGCTTGGCTTTGTTCTTTGCTTGCATGTTGTAATTCTCAGGAAGCAGGTATGTTGGGGGCGTCAATGCTAAGCTTCTGGTGTAGTAGAAAGAGCATTAGACTTGAAACCACAAGTCTGTTCTGTCATTAACCATGTGACTGTGGACAACTCATCTTCATTGACTGTTAATGTCCTCATCCATAAAGTGGGGTTGTATCATAATTGCATTGCCTCCCTCACAGGTTTGTCGTGAGGCTAAAATGAGATATTATGTAAGTCATAAATAGATCTGTAAATGTACTCTTGTTTATTTGCTTTGATACCGAGGTGAAACTGTGATTTCCTCTTCTGAGTACTCCCTTCATGCCTTCTTCCATGACGTAGAGGGCAACCCCTCCATGCCTTCTCATCCTCTGTGATTTGTGTCATTGTCTTTTAGTGTATATATATATATATATATATATATATATCCTGTATAGAGGATACACCCAGTGTCCATAAAATAGACAAGCTGTTTGGTATTTAAGTAGTGATGATGATGATGATGATGATGATGAAGAAGAATTTAGAGAGTTAATCCAGCTTTCCTTACTCAAAATCATTCCAGAAGTTGAAAAAAATAGGTATAAAGAAAATGTAATTAATGACCTTCATCTGGTTTCTCACTTCTCTGCCTAGCAGACTGGAGGCTAAGGGAAAAGCAATAAAGCATTCTACTCTGAGTCAAGATCTTGCTAAGAAATTCCCAACAAGTCACTGGGTCCTTTTCTGTCTCACTTTGCTCAATTTTTTGAAATATCCATTAGTGTTGGGCAGCATTGAAACGCTTTCTAAAAAAGTAGGTGATGTTAATACTAGACCCAAAGTTCAAATCCACAACTATTCTGTTTTAAGAACATGTAATTATTTTGGGAGAAGCTTTTAGCAGAAAATGAGGTACACCTGCTCATTGCCCTGAGATGCAGAGTAACCTTTAGTTGATTTTTGGCTGATCAGTAGTGTTTGTACACTTAAGAGCTCTGTACTGAGCCTGGGAATAGGAGTGGAGAGGTCAGGAAAAATTAAGAAAAAGAATGTGTTACATATCACAGATGCTATTGCCATATAGCACAGGGTTGCTGGTGTCTGTATTGGTTTGATTTGCTTATTGTTTCTTTCTTTTTTTTTTTTTTTGGTGACGCAATTGGGGTTAAGTGACTTGCCCAAGGTCACACAGCTAGTACGTGTCAAGTGTTTGGTCTGAGGCTGGATTTGAACTCAGGTCCTCCTGACTTTAGGGCCAGTGCTCTACCCACTGTGCCACCTAGCTGCCCCTGCTTATTGTTTCTGATGGTGAAACTTGAAGCACTAAAATGATTGATTGTTTCTACTATCTATCAACTTGAGAAAAAAACCTTTTCTTTCATTCCCCAAGTCCCCTTGTTAATTTGTTGATTCTTGTACCCTCTGTAATACCCTCTGCCTCAGATGGCAGGTATTATAGGTGTGCACCACTATGCCCTGCTCAGCAGATGTTTCTGAGGAATTCAGTGTTGGGTTCATGGTATCATAGATTTAGAACTGGAAGGAAGCTTAGAAATCATCTAGTCCAATTCCCTCATTTTATAGATGAGGACATTTATGCCTGAAAGAGTTTAAAAGACTTCTCCAAAGTCACAAAGTTAATAATTGGCAAAACTAGATTGAAGAAACTTCCTAAGATAACCAAGTCACTTTGCTTCTTTCTGTAGGTTGTACCAGTCTGTCAAGCTGCTTTATTCCATTGGGATCTTTTTCACCTATGCCCTGCAGTTCTACGTCCCTGCAGAAATCATCATCCCTTTTTTCATCTCCCGAGTGACAGAGCGTTGGGCGTTGGTGGTAGATTTGTCTGTGCGCGTAGTCATGGTCTGTCTAACCTGTGAGTAGAAGGCACAGTGACTTTTGTTTTCTGTTTCAACAAAGCATTTGAACCCCAAAGGCTATCAGCTAATAGTGGAGTGTAGGGTAGAGTGCAGTGTAAGTTTCCATATAAAGAGTTCCCTACACAAAGAAAATTATAGATCAGGACCAAAAACACATAAAACACAAAAATAAATAAAATGTTTTAAAATGTGGTGCCTGGAACTGCAGCCCAGGGTCTCCTTAGGGGAAGAGCACTGGGTATCTCATTTCTAATGTCAGTCATAGCCTTAAAGATAATATGGTCACATGCTGTATGAATATAAATCTGGTGCCCAGTGAAGGTGGTCATAGTGCTGCTGGCCTTTTTCCTAGTCACAGTCTTGTTTCAGCATTTTTTTAATAAACCTTTATTTTCTCTTCCTCTCATAATAACAACCAAAAAACCCCTTTTAACAAATAAGCACAGTTGTACAAAACAGATTGCCTCATTGGCCACATTCAGAAAGGTATGTCTTCTCATGCATCTTAGTCCCTTCCCCTCTACCAAGAGAAGGGGTAGGGTGTTTTCTCATTGACCCTCCGGAGTCATAGCTGATCACTGAGTGTGCTGATCAGACTTCTGAAAGCTTTCGAAGTTTTTCATTTTTACAGTGTTGTTAGCACACATTGTTCCCTGGTTCTGCTCCCTTCACTTTACAGTGTTCAGTTCTGGGCATTTAAAAAAATACATCATATATGTCTTCTGGGGGCAGCTAGGTGGCACAGTGAATAGCGCACCGGCCCTGGAGTCAGGAGGACCTGAGTTCAAATTCAGCTCAGACATGTAACACTAGCTGTGTGACTCTGGACAAGTCACTTAACCCCAATTGCCTAAAAAAAATATACGTGTGTGTGTGTGTGTCTTCTGTTTTGAGAGTCCTGACTTGATTTCATTGGTATGGGGAACTCTTACTTCAGACTAGCAACTCTGCTGTAACTCAGAGTCTTAGAGAGCTGCTTGGGGTCACCGAGAGCATAAGTGACTAGCCCAGCTAATCACAGATGAGAGCCTCTGAGGCAGGGCTTGAATCCAGACAGTTCTTCCTGATTCTTAAATCTGGCCCTCCAGCACTGTCTTACCGCCTCTCTCTTTTTTTTATAACACAGTTCTCTCTGTATATGTGTGTATATATAAACATGTACATATATGTACGTGTATATTATGTGTTCATGTATGTATTTATACATACACACAAATACACACAGAGGAATAGCTGGTATTAAAAACATAGGAGAAGCAGTGTGGTGTACGCGTGCGCGCATGCGCGCACACACACACACACACACACACACACACTTCTAGTTCGGCAACCTTCCTCACTCTCAAACCTTTTGCTGTAACAAAGAACAGCAATTTTGTAAAAGAGCCATCTGCAACACATGCAACATCCAGTTCCTGTCGTCTCTGACCTTTCCCAAGAGGAGGGAAATGTGTTTCACCATCTGTTCTTCAAAACCAAGACCAGTTAGTGACAATTAATCTAAGTTTGGATGTCTTTTAGTGTCGTTTTCTTTCACACAGTTGTGGTGATTTTGTATATCCACCTGATTCTGCTGGTTTCACTCTATATCAATTGAAGCAAGTTTTCCAGGTTTCTCTGTAGTCCTTATATTCATCAAGTCTTGTGCAATAGTGGCCCATTACCATCAGTTACCATAATTTGTTCAGCCATTTCCTAGTCAGTGCACACCCACTTCGGTTCCAGTGTTTTGCTACAGTAAAAGTGCTGCTGTGAGTATTTGGGTCTTGGAACTCCTTGGGTTATATCTGGGCAGTACATTATAGGAAAGACATTCATAAGCTAGATACCATTCATAGGGAGGGGACCAAGATGGTGAGAGGACTCAATATCCTGCCTTATGAGGACCAGTTGAAGGAACTAGAAATGTAGAATGGTCTACATCAGTAGAAGGAGTACCCCAGAGATAAAATAATAGATACTTATGTCTTGAAAGTGGGTATATTCCCTAGGTGAAGTTCTAATGATCTCATTAGGGAAGATTGCTACCTGGACAACTCTAGAAAGCTGTTTGTAACCATAATTCCTACATACACCTTGTATCTGTTCCTTCTTTCAAGCCTCGGCTATGGGGTCTGGCCCGCGAGCTGTCCTAATGAACATGTCCTCATTGAGATGGCACACTGCTCCATTCTTCCAAGAGTTATTGAAAGATAGTGGGGCAGCTAAGTGGCATAGTGGATATTGCATCAGCCCTAGAGTTAGGAGGAACTGAATTCAAATGTGACCTCAGACACTTGACACTTAACTAGCTGTGTGACCCTGGGCAAGTCACTTAATCCTGATTACTTAGCCAAAAAAAGGAAAGAAAGATAGTGACTATTCCTGTTGTAGCAGGATAGGGGAAAAAAGGTGAACTCTTCCAAATTATACTCATGCATTATGCATAAGCTTCCCTGAATCACAGAATGTTGGAATCAGAATTAGCGCCTGAACAAGAATCCCTCTCTAGTTTTCTCTACACGTGGCCATCTGGCCTCTGCTTACAGACCTCTGTTGATTGGGGGGGAAGCTCAGCAGTACTGGTGGTGGCCTGTTCAATTTGGGGATTGTTCTAAATAGAAGATAACTTTTCCTTCTATTAAGCTGAAATCCCTCCCCTATCTGTATAGATTGCACTCTTTGTACCCTCTCAGGCAAGGCTAAACAAGGCTAAGCCCTCTTTCACAGGACAGTCTTTCCTTCAGATGTTCTAAGACTGATAAGTTTTTCCTGTAAGTAATTTTTTCTCAGGCTAATAATTTCCATTTCCTTCAAATTGAGCCTCCTATGAAATTTTTTTCTAGCCCTCCCCAACATGCTCACCCTTTTCTAGACATGGTCCAGCTTGTTAGTGCTCTCCTAAAATGTGGCACAACCTTTCAAACAGGGTATGCCTAGGGCAGTGGGCCTTCTTGTAGACATTGATTCTGTTACTACAGGCTGAGACCTCATTAGCTTTTTTGGCTGCCATGTCACATTTTTGACTCAAATGGATATTTTATTCCCACTGAAATTTCCACCATTTTTTTTTTCACATAAACCATTGTCCTGCCATACCTTCTTTAATATTTTGGATAAGACAGTGGATCTAAGGATCTCATTCCTACAGGTATTCCATCTATACATTCAAGTAATAAGAGTTGTCTCTTATGCACAACCTCTGATAAATCTTCTGTTAGTCCACCCAGTGTGCTGCAGAAAGGGCAGGGATTCCTCTATATCTCTTGACATCTCCAGGAGACTAGCTACTAGGAAATGAATTCTTTGACCATGGCAAGCCACGAAATCAGCCATCCATTCAACAAGCATTTATTAAGGGCCTTTTCTGTGCAAGGCATTATGCTGGGTATACAAAGATAAACATGAAATAGTCCCTGACCCCAAGGAGCTTTCAGTCTACCAAGGGAAACATGAGGACACAAATAAGTCAATATAAATAGGTACAGAGAGTAATTTTCAGGGGGAGGACACCAACAGTTTGGGTGGAGGAGGGATCAGGAAAGGTCATTTGTTAGGGGGTGGCCCTTAAGCTGAGCTTCAAGGAGGCTGAGGATCCTAAAAGGTGGATCTGCAGAGGGAATGTGTGGCAGCCCCCCTGAAAAGAGAGGGGCCAATGAGAGACTGCCTCATGTAGGGGTAGTGGCACGTGGACCAGTTTGGCTAGAAGGTAGAGTGAGAGGGAGTAATGTGAAATCAGCCCCGAATGATAGGTTAGAATTAGATTGTGGGTGGCTTTAAATGCTGAACGGAAGAGTGTGTGTTTTATTCTAGAGGCAGTAGGGAGTCGTCAGAGCTGCTTGAACAGAGGAGTGACATATTCAGGTATATAATTTGTGCTTTAGGTACATAAATTTAGTAGCTGTGTAGAGGAAGGTTTAGAGAGGAGCTGGATAGCCATGTTTTGACTTGAAAAAATGCCAACTTTAGCAAATATTTTCTCCTAAAATATCAAAATAAATCATTCATGTATTAAAAACCTTACATATGGGAAGTTAGGGTATAAAAATAGGCTCAATTTCTTCTTTTCTTTTTCCTTTGGCTGTCAAATTTCCTCAGGGTCCATAGATTGTGAACTCTCTCAATACATCTCAGGCTCCCAAGTTTTCCATGGCAAAATTACTTTGGGAAATCATATTATAGTAGTTTTAGGTACTCTGGATCCTCACTTTTACTCTGCCAGTGACCTATTTGTTATTAATTTCTGTGTAGTGTAGCACAGAAATTGTTTTGTGTCTTATTTGCAGTATAGATGTGTGTACTTTTTCTGTGCAGATTGCCTCATGGTGGCATTTTGTATACCAAATCCAAGTGTTTAGATGATTGGAATTTTGACCTGGAATTATCCATTGTTATACCCAAGAGCCTCAAGGACAATTAAAAAAAAATGAGGATTCTTAGAAAATTTGGATTTTTCTAGGGATTCTTCTGCTTGATGAAAAAAGGCTGGTAGGCTGGAAGATTTTGAGTGAAAGAAACTCAGCCCCCACCAGCCTTGTTAGAGTACACCTACAAAATTAGACTTTTCCCTGTATGGGAACACATAGGCTTCACCATTTCTCCAGACTGACATGTATCCTGACTCCTACTAGATTTAGATTTCTTTGCTCTTTGACCTCCCCCCCCAAGCCTATAGCCTATATTTGTGAACACTGTACAAGGCTAAAATTTTTTTGGTTTCAGTTTTTATATTCTCATCTTTATCAGGTCTTTCACATTCCCTTCCATAGCATGATGTTCAGAACTATTGGCTGCCTTTGATCATTAAATCCACTATGTTCTGTGATCTTTGTGGTTATGCTTTACAAAGCCCTCTTTTCTACAGAGAACAACAAATAAAATGTATTTTCCCCCTATAAAATATCTATCTGCTTCTCTTCAAGTGTTCTGCCTTTTATTTGGGGGCTTTTATCAGGGACTTGAAAGGATGTAATCATTGCTGGAAGACAAAGCTAGAGAAAGCATGATTGTCTTGTCT